AGGGGATTGTAACCATGGCAATGAAACAATATACAATAGATAGAATGTAAAGCTAATGTTCTTCCATGTAAACTATCACATAATTCACAATAAAACACTAAAAAAAAAAAAAAGAATAGAAGGAAGAAAAAGACCAAAATGGATGTCAGAAGAGTCACTGAAACGTACTGTCCAGCATAGAGATGCTGAAGCAAATGGAAGAAATTAGGAGGTGAAACAGCTGAATAGAAAAATTTAAAGGGTATCTTGAGAAGATAATATCAACTATAATGGAAAATGCAAAGACCTGGAGTTAGAAAACCAAAAGTGAAGAATATGCTCAGTATTTCTGAAGCTGAAAGAACGGAGGAAAACATTCAAGCCTCAACTTGAAATACTGAAGGATTCTATGGGCAAAATATTGAGTGATGCAGAAAGCATCAGAAAAAGATAGAAGGAATACACAGAGTCACTGCACCAAAAAGAAGTAGTCTATGACCAGCCATTTCAAGAGGTGTAGCATATGATCAAGAACGAGTGATACTGAAGAAAGAAGCTAAATGTGCATTGAAGGCATTGCCAAAAACAGAGCTCTGGTAATTAATGGAATATAAATTAAAATCTTTCAACAAACTGTGGCAGCACTGGAGATACTCATCTATGCCAAGATATTGGAAGACACCCATGGTTGTGTGCATTTCAAATACAGGTGATCCAACGGAATACAGAAATCATTAGACTATATCATTAATATCACATGCAAGTGAAATTTTGCTCAAGACAATTAAAAAATGTCTGTAGCAGTACATTGACAAGGAACTGCCAGAGTTTCTAGCTGGATTCAAAAAAGGATGTGAATCAAGGAATATCATTGTTGACTTCAGATTGATCTTGGCTGAAAGCAGTGAATACCAGAAAGATGTTTACCTATGCTTTATTGACTATGTAAAGGCTTTCACCTGTGTGGATCATGACATGCTATGAACAACATTGTGGAGAATGAGTATTCCATATTCCGGAACATTTAATTAGGCTCATGAGGAATCTATACATAGACCACAAAAGGCAGTCATTTGAGCAGAATGGGTTAAAATCAAGGTTGCACCAGGGTTGTATTCTTTCACCATACTTATTCAGTCTGTATGCTGAACACATAATCCAAGAAGCTGGATTATATGAAGAAGAACATGGTATCAGGATTGGAGAAAGACACATTAACAACCTGTGATATGCAAATGATACAACCTTGCTTGCTAAAAGTGAAGAGGACTTAAAATATTTACTAATGAAGATCAAAGAGCACAGCCTTCAGTATGGGTTGTACCTTAATGTAGAGAAAACAAAAATCCTCACTACTGGATCAGTAAATAACATTGTGACAAATGCAGAAAAGATTGAAGTTGTCAAAGACTTCATTTTGCTTGAATTTACTATTAACACTCATGGAAGCTTTCAGCAAAAAATCAAATAACATATTGCATTAGGCACATTTGCTACAGAAGACCTCCTTAAAGTGTTCAAGAACAAAGATACCAGTTTGAGGACTAAAGGTTGCCTGACCCAAGCCATGGTATTTTCAATAACCTCATATGCGTATGAAAGTTGGACAATGAATAAGGAAGACTGTAGAATGGATGCATTTAAATTGTGGTTTTGGAAAAGAATCTTAACAATACCATTGACTGTTGGAAGAACAGACAAGTCTGTGTTGGAAGAAGTACAGCCAGAATGCTCCTTAGAAGCCAAGATGGCTAGGTTTGTCTCTCATACATTGGACATGTTAGCAGGAGGGACCATTCCCTGGAGAAAGGCATCATGCTTGGTAAAAGTGGAGGGTCAGTGAAAAAGAGGAGGGCCCCTAATGATTGTTGTCACAGTGGCAGCAGCAGTGGCCTCCAGTGTAACGATTGTGAAGTTGGTGCTGACCAGGCAGTGTTTCATTGTGTTATGCATAAGGTCGCTGTGAGTCAGAACTGACTCGACAAAACCTAACAGCAATGATAACATATGCATGTGAAAGTTAGTGAATAAGATAGACTGTAGAAGAATTGATACATTTGAGTTACGGTTTAGAAGAATATTGAAGGTATCGTTGGTAGAAGTATAGACAGAAAGCTCTTTAGAAGCCCGAAGAGTGAGACTTCACCTCTCATACTTTGGATTTGTTATCAGGAAGAACTAGTTACCTGGAGAAGGACATCATGCTAGGTAAAGTGGAGGGTCAGCAAAAAGAGGAAGTACCCTCCCTGCAGTAAAGGTGGCAGCAGCAGTGGGCTTAAATTGTAACAACTGTGAGGATGGCAGGACTGGGCAGTGTTTTGTTGTGCACGAGGTCACCGAGTTGGAGCCGACTCCACAGTACCCACCAACAACAGCAGTCTTTATGAAGATAGACTGCCTTATCTTTCTCTGAGCAGCTGTTGGCTTTGAACCACCAACCTGTTGGCTAGCAGCCAAGTGCTTGCACCAGCGGGGCTTCTTGGAAGAAGGGGTCACTATAAATACAAGATGTTGTAATCCTGTATTTTCTGTAATCCTGATCCATCCTTAAAGGCTTGATAATATCCAGTCTCAGTTTGGCAACATTTCTTTCCAGTCAAACAATCTTACAGTTGTCTATTCTCGAAAAACGCAAGAATGCATACATCTCCAAATCACCGAAGCAGCCATGGGAAGAGCTGTGACCAGTTTTACCATAGGCGGTGACTGGTACATTTCAGCACAAGTTATCAGAAAGTGAAGCGGAACTGCTCTGCACCGTGCCGTGTTGTAGAAGCCCATGTTCCCACTCTGAGGATGTCACAAAGCCCAGCACAGAATGAGGCAGATGTAAAAGCTCTTGTGTGAAAGATGTTTAATTTCTCCATAGACCAGAATGGGGCTTTTCTGTAATTTGGACGTTGATACTAATAGAACCTGTATAGTGCTTAATGTATGCCAGTGTCCGAGTGATTTATCCACTTCAGTTACATATAGCAGGAGCCATGCTTGCTCAGTGGGTCAACCCTCAGCTGCTAATCAGAAGCTCAGTAGATTAAACCCACTGGCTGCTCCGTAGGAGGAAAGATATGGCAATCTGCTTCTGTAGAGATTGCAGTCTTGAAACCCTGCAGGGCAGGGAGTTGGCATCGACTTGACAATAGTGGATTTTTGGTTCGGCATAGATTTAGGCACATATCCCATCACCCCAGTTGGTTGCCTCACAGGAGTGCTGTGTGGCAGGTATCTCCATCATCCCCGTTTTAAGAATGCGTAAATCAAGGTACTGACAGGTGAAGTGATGTGCCTGAAGTCACAGAGCTGCTGAGTGACAGAACCAGTGTACATGCATCACTGCCATCCGACTGTGGAGTAGCAGTTCCTGCTGCTGTGAGCACTCTCAGGTTTGGTGGCATGTGGCTCACACAAGCAATGTCATGTGATAAATGCTGTTTTCTAGGAAGAGAATGGAGACTACACATATGTGGAAAGAGTGAAGATACCCTTGGACCACGGGACCTTGCTAATCATGGAAGGAGCAACGCAAGCTGACTGGCAGGTCAGAATATTCAAATAACACTGATAACACTGAACTCTTTCAGTGGTATTTCTCCCATGGACACATTTTCTGGCTGACTTGGGGTTATGCATTTTTTTAGGGTTGGAGTCCTGGTGTGGCACTCTGGGTTAATGCACTGGCCTGCAAAGATGGTTTGAACCACAAGGTTCAGGCTTACCAGCAGCTCCTTAGAAACCCTGTACAGAGTCACTGTGGGTTGGAACCAACTCGACACTCAACAACACCGCACAGGGTCACTAGGAGTCAGAATCGACTTGATGGCAGTGAGTTATACAGGAAATATGCAAAAAGCGAAACACTTTTATAATGAGCAAGAAGCAATAGGTCACTTCATTCTAGGAGTTTTGATGCTGTTGGTAAGCAGAACAGACCTCTAGAGCAGTGCTGTCTGCTAGAACATTCTGCGACGACAGAAACCTTCTACAGGTGGGTTCAGTCCACTCAGCCCCCACAACAGCCACCAGCCACCTGTGATTGCTGACCTCTTGAAATGTGGCTACTGTGCTGAGGAACTGAATTTTTTATTGAATTAGTTTAAATATTTAAGTTGCCTCAAGTGGCTAATGGGTGCTCTATTGGATTTAGGCCAGGCCAGTTTTAAGGTGCATGTGTTCATGTATGACGAGTTTAAGGTGCGTGTGTTCATCTTTGAAGAATTTAAGGTGTGTATGTGCATGTATGAAGAGTTAGTGTGAGAAAGGAGTCGCCTGCCTCCACTTTGACCTCCAAGCGTCATTCTAAGCCTTTTCTCTGAGGGAAGTATAACTCCTCCTGAAAAGAAAGTAAAACTTGTACTGAATTCCCAGGTGTTCTCCCATTAAAACAGGCAACACCGGGCCAGGATGGTGCAACCAGCTTTGATTGTGTGCTTGTGTGTGTGTGTGTGTGTGTGCGTTTTATGAGATTTGGGGAAATGGCAGGAATCTGGGCTGAAGGGCAGCAATTAGAAAAGATGAAAAGATCTCACTGCCGGTTTGCTTACCTGTTTCCCTGGGGCTGGGGATGGGGCATCTGATTCAGAGGAGGAAACCTTTCTCCACAGGACTGTAAAGAGCTTATCACTGGTCATTTTAGGGGCAATCAAATCCTCATAACTGCTTTGAATTGGATGTTTTCAATTGCTCTCACTAAACCAAGTCTTTGTGTTTTTGTTTCCATGTAGCATCGTGTTCCCAAGGAGTACCACTCGAGAGAGGCAAGAGTCAACCTGACCTTTCGGACGGTTTATCCAGACCCTCAGGGGCCACACTGGTGACGTGAGGCCTGAGAGAGCAGAGCAGAGTTCCCACCAGGAGGGAAGGAGCAGGGAGATGTGGGACTGGGTGGCCTTGTGGTGTGTGTCTGCAAGAGGATTGTTTGAAGATGAGGGTGAGATTTGTTTCCCAGCTCTGAGTCCTATTAGGTGGCAGCCAATAGTTGCTGTGGGTAGTGTGCTTTCTGGGGGCCTGGACTTCCCTCATCATTGCAAATAGAAACCCGCTGTGGGGTGCTCACAGATGTCTTGGTCCAGAGCCCTCTCCCTTCATCAGGAAGGACTGTGTCTCTGGGAAAGATGGGCACGTGTGTGTTCCTGGTGACTTCAGTGGAGACATAAACATGCGTCAGTGACTCTGGAACCTTCTGTAAGCAGACAGCTGTTGAGACCCAAACAGCGGTGTTTTCACAGTGCTCTGTTAAAGTCTGCTGTGACTCTTCAGCACCTTGGCTTGGAAGCTGTTATAATGGAAGCTGCATAGTCAAGGAACACTCAGGGTGGGACTTGCCTCAGTCTCAGGTCTTGAGCCCCAAATAAAGACATGAAGGCAGTTCCCGCCAGTCCAGCCTCTGCAAGCAGTCTTCTGGTGACTTGGATATAGGAGAGCACTGTCTCTTTAAAGGGAGGAAGAATTGAGTGATGTCATGGGAAGTAACCCGCTGAAATTTCGCCTGAAGAGCAGCAAATGCCCGCTAGTGACAGCTGTTCCACATAGATTAGTTTCCCCTCGAGAATTAACTAGAATCATTTGAGCCCAAGCCAGATAGAAGGGGAGCAGCCCCTCAGGGACTAGACTAGTTGCCTAATAGTACTCTTTCCCTAAGATTTCAGCAGCTCTGTGACTGAGACTCTTCTGACTCAGTGCTCTCTCATCTCTAGCCACAAGGCTTAGGCATGATGTCACCAAGGTTCCCAAAACAGCAGAGTGGCTGCCCCTCACTGCATCACAAAAGTACGTGTCTTCTCCACCTCTTGACCTAGGAGCAGTGTGCCAGGTTAATTCCCACACAAGATATGGACAATCCGAGAGAAGGAAAAAGAGTTTAAGTGGATGAGAATAGGGTAAGAGACTTTGGGTTTACTTAGCTGCCCTGGGGAAAAGTGGCAGTTGTCATCTTGCTTTTCATCCTGTTTCCAGTCCAAACTGTTTCCAGTCCATTAATGATCCCTATGATCTTGGGGAAATGCCCAGGGCAAGGAAAACTCTCACCCAGAACCCACATGTGTTGTCCCGCCTGGCTGGCCTCTCTCTTCTCTGTTGAGCCTTCTGCTTTTGTGCGTTGAAGTCATCATCATTATTAACAGTATAGCATGTACATAGATAGCTCCTTTCTCTAAGTACTAAATACTTTATACAATCCAGGCGTCATTCTAAGCCTTTTCTATGAGGGAAGTATAAATCCCCCTGAAAAGAAAGTAAAACTTGTACTGAATTCCCAGGTGTTCTCCCATTAAAACAAGCAAAACCGGGCCAGGATGGTGCAACCAGCTTTGATTGTGTGCTTGAAGTTTCTCATCCTTTCCTACAAATGAAAGTGCTGACAAGTTGCTCCAAGTTTACGGTGTCCCTCTTAACGTGATCATGTCTGCCCTGCGTCACTGGCCACTGTGACCTCTGCCCATCGCTGCTGTGCCTGTTGGTGAAACAGGCTTATCCTCCAATGCAGACAGCTTGTTGTCGCTACAGACACCATACGTCAGATCCCACCACAAACAGCATTCCTGCTGAAGTGTCAGGGAGGTAGTTGGCATAGAGTCAAAATGACAGGGTTTTAGGAATAGCCAGGAATTCCAGGTCCTGGCAAAATAGGAGACCCATGCAGTGACTCAACCCTTGTCACTATGACTCACTGCTGGTGAACTTTCCTAGGAATTTGGGGGGACACCACTGCTGTTACCTGTAAACCAAAGGAGGCAGATAGAAAAGGGGCGCTGGGGAAGAAAAACAGGCTTTGTTTTTTTTGTTTTGTTTTGTTTTGTTTTAAGCTGCCCTCTTTTAGAGCTTCAGCAACCTGTCTAGCACCATCTAAAGTGCTTTCTATACAAAGGTGCTTTCTATACATAATCCCTAATCCTCACCATGCTAGGAAACTGAGTCTCCAAGAGGTTAAGTCAGGACTTGTAAGCAGCGGTTCTGTGGGCTGGGTGTTGGACTGCTAACCGAAGGTCAGTGGTCCAACCCCACCAGCTGCTGTGCGAGGGAAGCTGAGGTTTCCTGCTCCTGCAAAAATGTGCAGTTTTGGAAGCCCTGCCTGAATTGCTGAGTTGGAATTGATTTGATGGCAGTGAGTTTGGTTTGATTTGAGGGTAAGTAGCAGAGATAGAATTCAAACTGAGTTCTCCTCCCTAACTAAATCCATGTACTTGCTTCTAATGCTCAGGGTGGCTCACCCTGACACACTGCTGCCACAGCTGAACACCAGGACCCCTGGTTTGATGCCTGGCTTTCCTTTGCATCTGGACAGGTGGCTGCACTCTCTTAATCAACATTAGCATCTCCTAATGTGCTACATGGAGTCCTGGTGTGGCACTGTGGGTTAATGCGCCAGACTGCAAAGCCATTGAACTGCAAGGTCGGTGGTTCAAGCTCATCAGCTGCTCCTCGGAAACCTGTACAGGGTCGCTATGGGTCGGAATTAACTCAATGGCACTTAACAATAACAACAACAAAGTGCTTGCTACATAGAGTCCTGGTGTGGCACTGTGGGTTAATGCACTGAGCTGCAAAGTCAGTTTGGACTGCAAGGTCAGAGGTTCAGGCTCACCAGCCACTCCTTGGAAACCCTATTCAGGGTTACTATGGGTGGGGACCGACTTGATGGCACCTAACAACTACCCTGGTTAGCATAGTGGTTACAAATTGGGTTGCGAACTGCAAGGTCATTAGTTCGAAACTACCAGCTGTTCCACAGGAGAAAGATGAGGCATTCTGTTTCTGTAAAGATTTACAGCCTTGGAAACCCTGTACAGGGTCGCTATGAGTTGGAACTGACTCCATGGTACACAGCCACCACCATCAACAACAACTACAACTGGTTGGGCTAATCATTGATCATGTAACTGCAGAAACTCATTTGGGGGACAGATATCAATTCCTGGTCAGACAACTTCTCAGCCAGCCTTCTCTGAAGCAGATGACTTGGAACACCATGTGTCCTGACCATATCCAAGCAGACGTACCTGGAACGGCTCAGAGGTAGACAGACGGGTCTTTCCTCATGGATCCCTCCCTCACATGTATCTGTCAGCAGGTTCGGGGACTCTGAGAAGGGACCCCAGGCTTCCTCATGGTATGTACCAACAGCAGGACTCTGCCCACAGGCTCCCATCTGCAGAGCCCAAGGAAATTGGCCAGGCCACACATTGAGGTCTTGACCACATGCGACATTTCACCGATGCTAAGTGTCACCTTGTTCTCTGAGGCACAAGTGTGAGAGTGTGCATCAGGGGACAAGGTGACACTTAGCATCAGTGAACTGTCCATTCACACTGTGTCCCTAGCCCTGAATACAGGCTCTACACTGACCCACCCATCCTTTGCTAACCCACTTTCTCAGCTGGCATTGACAAGTCTTGAGGAGTTGGGCCACAGTTACTGTGTCCTGTGACCCTTGCTCTCGGCTCTCCTCGTGATACCCACAAGTCTGCCTGGACCCTGGATTGGACTGAAGGGCTAATGGGTGCTGCTCCAGGTTGGACGCTCCCCCTGGAGCCCTGACAAAGGTGGGTCGCTGCTCTGCTGGAGTCTTTTTTCCCTGAGTTCTGGCAGCTTGTACTGGCTACAGATGATCTAGGCCCACTTTGCCTTTTCTGGCCAAAGGCACTGGTAGTGCTAAATCTGAAGTCTTGATTATTTTTCTTAACAGTGCCTTTGAAAACGCGAATGTTTCCATAGTGATGCATCCTGTTTGTTTAAATCCTCACTTATACATGGTTCCACCCACATGCATCTCCTCAAAGGGGACCTCATCTGCAGCTGCCCCTTCCCCCCCCCCCCCCCCATTCTCCTCCCTGGAGGGAAGGTACATATGCGAGAGACCCCTGTTACAGTGTGCTACTGGAGACGGTTTGCAGACATTGTCCTGGGTCCCGTTTGGGGCTGCACTGTGGTGCAAACGTCTCCCATCCAGTGGACAGAGCCACATGACTGACTGCAGTGGGAGTGCCAGAGAGCCGTGCAGGAAAGCAGGGTCCATTCGGCAGTGCCTTTGTAGCCTGCTCTGCCCAAAAGATGGTTTTCTGAAATGATCCAGTGTGGAGTTGGCAGACGTGTGACATGGATGTGACGGCTCTTTTCTGTGCAGTTACTGCCTTCACTGTCAAGGAGGCCTTCCCATATCCCTCCATCCTAGGGACAGTCCCTGTCCTCCTGTGGCCCTTAGCAGCTGGCCATGCTTTCTTCACACACACATAACTCCAACCTCTGGCTTCACTTGAAAACAAAAGGAGAAAAGTTGGGAAGCAAGCAGCTTAGTGCTGTCTCAGCTGGGACTGCTCCATCTGTAATTGCGTTTGCTCCTGAAAGTCACCTGGCAGGTTTTGTAATTTACACAGATGATGGACTAGGCTCTGAGCTCCTACCTCCCAGACTGGGCTGGCCAGTCAGTGTAGTCCCTAGAATCCCTCCCTGTCCCCTGCAGCCTGGACAAATGCTCACCAGGGCAGAAAGCCGGAGGAAGTGGTGGGCTGAGTGCATTGGGCTCCCAGGGGCCTCTGATCAGGTTGCAATTAGCCACCCACTGCAGGAAGGGTGTGGGTGAGCGCTTTGACAGGTGGGCGGGCCGGCTGCTGTGCCTGTGATGATCCAAGTGTCCTGGCGCATGCACGGGAGCCAAGGAGCCACCTGGACTGGATCTGTGTCAGTAAACAGTGAAGACCCGGAGGCTGCTTGATCCTTCACAAGGCTGCAGCAGGCAGTTGTCCCCTGGGACCTGCACCACCAGCTCCATCTCCTTACATATGGAGCATGGGGATGGGGCCTTCTAAGAAGTGTGACTCAGAGGATGCTCGTGAGATGGTA